GGTGAAAAGGTTTATTTTGACCACTCAAAGTCTTCAAAACTAGCGTTTGCTCAATTGCACGTTGCGAGATAGCTGAAAAGGACTTCTCTATTTATTGCTCCAAAAAGTGAGCAGTTGATGATGAAGATGTATCTATTCGCAGGGATACGAATGCCCCCGAATTGTCCCAAGGCATTATATTCATATGGGTTATAAAAAATAAATTGTTCACCTTTGCCACATCTCCTAGCGAAACGAAGTTCTCAGCCAACTTTCGCTGATCTCGCTTTATTTTCCTCATTCTGAAAATTAAACACTTGGAATGATATCATTGCACATCTAAGAGAGCAGATAACTTAAGTTCTCTTTCTGGCTTGATACTGGAGAATCCGCCGAAGTAATTTACTACACTTACTCATAGATAGCCACAAGAAATTTTCTCTGATGTTGTCGAATGCGTGCATAGTCAATTTTTTCCACCTTCTTTCTGAATTTGTAGATCAGCCATGTCTCTCTCAGTACATTCGCTGCCGAGTGCTTCAGCTGGAAAAAAGTCAACGATACGAAAATGCTCACAAAAATCATTTTTCTGATAATTCACCTGTTTAGTAAGCTGTGTATCCATCATGAAATTATGCACATGCTTTTCGGCTCTGGTCAACTCCAGCTTCCTCGCCACTACAGCGACGACCATCGATGAGGCGCAGGTTCCCTAAAATTTCAAACATATTTTCCCACGATTACCTTTTTTATAATTGATCTTACCAAGATTCCAGTGATTACAGCCATTGTTCGTCCACAATTGGTATGCGGTACGATATCACCTGAACAATACGCAATTACACCGCCCACTCAGTTCGGTAGTCAAAGGGATGCTTACCGTAACCGACGGAGAGAAAAGTGATAGCTACAACCCAGATAGATGACACATAATCCATGTGATTTCGCTGATGTAGAGCTGCGTAGTCCCTAAAAATTATAGAAAGCTTGATACAAATTTTTTTTTGTTTTTTGATTGCAGCTACAGCGAAAGCAGAAATTTCAAAAAAAGGGGACGACAAAAAACCTTGCAGATGTGAAACTAGCCTAAAAGCCTCTATAAAACTTTAAAAAGTTCTCAGGTTTTTAAAATTTTCGC